CTTGACGAAGATGAAAAGAGATCTGAATCCTATTCATTAACAAAAAAACAGCACAACATTATCTAAAAAAACGTGAGTAACGTAGAACTTAGGACATATTTACCTTGTTTCATGCTTCAAATAATTTAGGTTTCGCACTCTAATATTGATAATTTAGATACTTAATGCGCGTTATTGAATACTATTGATTTTAACAAGCATCGTTCGGCTAACAATTATCGATATCCAAAGTCAGTTTTACGATTTGTAGCAAGTCTCTCTATACTAGCTGGGAGTTATGTATATGAATATATTCGTATTAACTTTAAATTTCTTTTACCATCGATTGAAACAGTTTAAAATGGTTACAAATTTAGTCCATATTCAGAAGTCGAATTCAGATTCGATGAATCCAAAATTTATCTTGATTCTATTCATTGTCAATTCGCTTTTTAATCAGAAGATTGTTCGGCTATTATTCCACGAATTGAATATGATTCAACCTTAAATTGTTTTAACGGTTTTGTGACGCCTATTGATGGTGGTAAACCAGTTTAAAATGCTTTTGATTGTCAATCTTTTGAAGAACTCAAACATGCACTTGAAACTCAGCCACGTGCCAATTTAGTTAATGTACATGTAACTTCCAGAACGGATTCGCCCACCTATGGACTCATGGATTATATGAATAGGCCAGTATAAAAAACAGTGAGCTCTGTTTAATACATACTTTCACAGTGTGATGCCATGTTAGGAAACGTAGTTATACATGTCATGAAACTATCATGCATGCTATATGAGAAATATCTTGCTTTTATACTGGAAAATATTCTGACATATTTGGAGTCAAAACTTTGTTACTTATATACATGAAAGTAAATTCATTCAAATCTTATTTCGAAAAGCAGGATCAAACAATAGATTTTTTCCAACATAATCCTTCATTTTTTTATTTTGTGGCTGTTGCAAACGCGTAAAGTCATCGAAAGAGATAGATCATTTTCTCTGGCTTATATTTACCATAACTAGATCACTTCGTTCAATTTCTAACTATTATTTCATATACTGTGTAACACTACAATGAAAGTTTCATTCGAGCATTGGAACTTAAGCCTTTCAGTTGAGATGATGAAATATGGAGTGTTGAGTTGTGCTTAAAGTAAGAACGAAGCAATCATATTTGTTCAAGTGATTTCTGTTATAGCACACATACTCTGCGACAGTGTGTTATCCAACCCTAAAATATTTGCTAGTGTAAAATAATAGTATGTTCAGTTCCAATACACATAACGAATTATCATACCTTTGGAATTTCTTTTATTTCAAGATATGATCATATCATTGTTGAATAGACTAGTTGAATTATTCATATATGATGTGGCGCGTGGATATTTTGTTTTCGGAAGATATTACCATGGTCTGTTGCTTTGGTGAAGAAATATCTAGCATTTGATGGAATGGCGAAGTTGTCAGGATTCCGTTTTATTAGTGGTGCTTGCGCGTATGCTGTCGGCATGGTAATGTTGTGTTCGTGAAGTTTTGACTGCGTGGGTAATAGGAAGCTGTGGGCGTGGCCTGATTTTTGTGGTTGCTCTTTGTATGCGTAAAGGAGTTGTGTGGGAATGATTGTTGGTAGATGATGGATGGTTTTTACACGTGCCAATTGACGAACATCGTAGTTGGAACTGTTTTTTTAATGTTAAACAGTGGATTACTGGAACGCGTTCGAGTGTTTTCGTTTTGAGCATGAGTAACGTGGGGAGGGTAGCGCAGTCTAAATTTGCAATTACGGCTGGTTGAACCGTAGCTAAATATTTCGTTTTGGCAACGAATGCTTAGTTTGGATCAGGTGTTTGGAAACTGGAGTGTACGCATTTGGAAAATTTCTTTTATTTGATTTTCAGCACCTTCGGTTCTTTTATGTGTTAATGTGTGAACGGAACAACGAATATCCTTGTAGCCATTTTTATGAAGTAATGTACATTGGAATGCATTATTTTACAATAGAACTGCAATCGATGCAATTACATGATAATGAAATATTTCGTATAATCCATTGCAATGGATTAACATATCAACGCATTATATTGCAGTGTAATGCATTGGAAATTTCATATTCGACGCTTGTTTCACATGATATGTACAATCATATTAAATTTATATTGTAATAACTATGATTGAATCTCTGTCGTACTGCACAACTATCTCCTAACTTACCCTGTATCTATTTCCATTCCGTTAACTTAAACCTTAACGTTATTCTATGAACTAAATTATATCTACCCTTCAACCATAACTATCACCTTAAGTTAACCCTTTAACTTTAAATTACCTATTTTCTATGTGTATCCATTAATTTGTATATATCCGTAGCGTAGCACACTCTAAAAAATTTCCGTATCGTAGAAAATCGAAAGGAGTTCGAAAACCCACTCGGAAACCCTTATCCGTTTCCGAGAGGGTTTGCGAGCAGTGAAAGGGTTTCTATAAATATCCTTTCGGTTTCCAAACATTCAGAAAACCAAATGTTTCAGATGGTACTTAATCGGCCACTCAAAACTTATTCTAGAATACCTTTTTCTTACTATCGGAAACTCAAATATATTCTCGGAAACTGAAAAGGTATTGCCCAAAACCGATATTAGCAGAAAAAGTGAGTTGGTACCCGAAAGGGTATGCGAAACTTCCTCTTCATTTCCTGAAAGGTTTCCGAAAAAAACCAATCTGAAAAGCGTATCACAGGCATCCAAAATGGGTTTACGTTGAAAATGGTCTCACAGCCAACTAAAATAGGTTTCAGAATTTTGATTGAACATTCGAAAGTGTTCCCGAAGCTCATAAAAAAGGTGTCATAATGAACTATTGGGACTGAAAAATGGTTATAGCGAGGACACTGAAACTTTGAAGGTTTTATTCGTTTATTAATAAACCATTGAAGGTTCTAGCTAATTTAAAGAGCCATGTCATATCACACATGATTTCAGATATTCAAAAGAGTTCTATCCTGTGCCCTTGTTCTTAATGCTGAAGCATTTTTCCAAAGATGGTTCTGGCTTAAACCAAGATGCAATATTTTTGGACGTGATTTAATCAAAGTAAATCTGAAACAGACTATCGAGATCTAGGAATCCGAATCCATCGTCATTTTTCGATGCGAGCTCCCGTTGGTTAGAAATTGAACCCATCAAAAATTCGTCGGCTGTAAAGTAAGACTTTCTATTTCAACTTCGATCTGAATTCTGATCAAGGGTTGAAAAAGGTTATCGAGGCCCAGGAATCCGAATACGCCATCATCGATTCCGACCCTGGGAGTGTAAGTCGGATTGCTCAGCCCGTGTGTCCGGCGTATTCCTACCGGATCTTTACGAAATCCGATGAGTTCGATCAGATACCATTGCCGGATTGATGAGCCTGTGTAACTGTGTCTTGATAATCAATTCAATAATAATTAGGAACTTATAAAGTACGATTATTCTTTCATCTATTTTGATATATCATAATTATCAATAGAAAGGTAATTTCAATCTGATTAAATGACTTCAATATTTTCTTCATTTAGGTATATAACGATAATCAATTGAAATGCAAGTTCAATATGATCAAATGAGTTAATGCTGTTAATATTTAAGGAATATGTAAGTAATGAATTATATGGTAGTTCAATCTTACAATCTAAGCTACCCTTCTTGTTTTTATTTAGGATCATCTCAACAACACGTAACGGCGATGGTCTTCTTGTGCGAATAGAGAACGAAGCGCTGACTGCTATTGTGCTCACAAGAAACCTAGGTAGATATAACACATAGAAATTAGTGTTATGGACAGAATTAAGGGTACAATTAATTTTTAGGGAGAGAAATAAGGGCTTGGGCTAGAAATTAGGTTTAAGGATAAAATTAGGTTTAAGGATAAAATTAGGGGCAAGGATAGATTCTAGGGTTAAGGTTAGAATTAAGGTTAAGACTAGAATTAAGGGTTAAGGATAAAAGTAAGGTTTAGGGATAGAAATAAGGGTTTAAATATAAAATTAACGGTTGGATACAGCAGTACTCGCCAATACTCGAGTAACTGAGTGAGGCGAACCAGATTTTACGACTCTAGAACCATTTTTGGAAGAAAAAGAAAAAGGTTTTAGCTAGAACAAGATTTTACTTGAAGCTTAAATGGTTCAAAAAATGATTCTCAAATCTAGATCCTTAAAAGGTTCAGCATGACACCTTTTTTCAGAGTAGCTGACTACAGCTTTTCTCCATTCGGAAACCTTTTTTTGGGTTTCCGAATGGGTATTTGAGGTTTCGATATGATGGACATTGTGGGTTTCCGAAGTTTCGGAAGCCCTTAAAGGGTTTCCTATAGTAACAAATTCGGAAACCACCTAAGAGCTTTCGAGGATGCCTATTTTTTTAGAGTGTATTTGGATGATATTGGTGAGAATCTAAAACAAAAAACAATTAATTCATGAACAAATTTGCTCGTTTTGAATTCGAATTTACCATTTCGATCATAACCGATTATCAGTCTGAATCAAAGAAAAAAGAAATAGAAATCATTTTAATACTAAATTGTAACTTACCATAGGCTCTTAAAAAAAGGTATTTTTTACTATCGCAACTCTTTGAGGGTTTCCGAATTACTCGGAAACTCCCAAGCGAGGTTTCCGAATAGCTCGGAAACCCTTAACGAGTTTCCGATAGTAACAAGTACCTCTTTTTTAAGAGTGCATCGATAAGAGTCTCGAACAAAAGACCCTGAAAAAAATCAGGCTTTTACAAGGGGGAAAAGCGCTACTTCATTTACTTCAGAAGTATTTGAAGTATGGTGGGAGTATAATCAAAGTACGATTCGAGTACAAATGCAATAGTATAATTCATCATTGGACTATGAAGAGCATCTTAAATTAACATTTTAGTTTTCCTTAAACATATTATCCTGCAAAAGCATGTTATATAATATGATTTATAATCGCTTTCAAAGAAAAATTGTATTGCATGATGATTGATATGCTTTATTCCACCTAAATAATTGAATTGGTCATTGTACCATCTACTAATGAAAGTAATAACGATGTCACTTTCACATTACCTTGCTTCGAACAATATTCAGTTTTCTTATACATTATGTTATTACTGTTAATACAGCCTGTTTCATTACATTTCGCGGGAATCCAATCGATTTGAAGACATTGCGTGGCATTGGATCAAATGTTTTCAAGAAAGTTTAGTTGTTACTGAAAAATGAATCAAAAATCAGTTTTTGTAAGTGACGATTAAATTAATCTACATCAAATTGCTAAATTTCATGCTTTCGACGGATTTCGAATTATTTCTGATACAACTTTTACTTTGTAAATCTACCAATAAAGCACTTCATTTATGTTATTCATGAAAGAATATTATATAAGTGATTGAAAAAGTCGCTTATATCGTGCTTAATATCATAGTAAAACAACTGAAAAACATCAATTGTGCACGCAATAGTACATTTATACTGTGTTATTAAGAAATTTAAACAGATAACTTGAAAAAAGAATCCGTTTTTTTAAATGTAATTACTACTATTTAATAGATTAAACATAATCAGATTCGTTATTGTATCGACATGTGAAACATCAGAGAGCATTATGATCTATAAAACAAGATATTATATTTGTTGTGAATTATGAATCATTAAGTATAACTTGTATGAGTCAAACAAATGAAATCAAAATATGCTACAGTAAAGAAATATTTTTATTTTTCTGCCTATTCATCATCACTAACATCGAACGACATGTAGATTTCACTTTCTATTTTCTTACATATAATTGCATGTACGCTCATCGAATAAGTTTTGGGTCCGATGCTAACGATTTTTTGACAGGTAGATATCAAAGAAAAATCAAAAATCAATCATCAGTAAATATGTTCGTTTATACGTCTAAGACTTATAATTTTTAAATTTCATTTCTTCATACATTTGTGGAATTTGATTAAGTCAGTTTGTATGGATAATAATGACATAAAACAGTTAATTGTCCTTAAAAGTGAACGATTTTTTCAACATATTGAAGAACATGACGAAAAATTGGTAGAAAAAATTTTACGTTATCATGATATTGACAGTTATACGATTTTGAGTCAAGTTGATCAGCAAGCAATGATTAATCTATTTGAAATACCAAATGATGAGAATTGTACGAATGAATTAATTGATTTAAAAAAGGAAATTTGTAATATTTGTCAAGATTCGATTACATTGAAATTTGGAACAAAACATAAAATTATTTTGTTACTAAAATCAACTCGAGATATTATTAAAAGAAAAAAAACTTCAATTAGTCTACTCAACACGATCAAATAAATTTGATATATATATATAGACTATCATCATCATCATCATCATCATCAAGTTACAATAGTGCTAGCGACTGTGAAGCTAGTTTTGAACATGATCGAACAAAACTTTATCTAAGAAATCGTCGCTTTCAACTGTCAAATTTTGTTAAACACTTAAATGTTATTAAAAATGTATCAACGTCGTTTACAAATAATTCAAGTGAAGAACCAGATGATCGAGCAACAGAGGTTAACAGAAGTCTGTTCACGAATGTTTCTTTATCATGTGATGTTTGATGAGCTGACCGAGTCGCAACGTTTGCTTTGAAATGAGCAAAAGAGATGAACATAAATCTCGTAAGGAATGTTCCGTTGCGATGTGATATTCGATCAGCTCACCGAGTCGCAACGTTTGCTTCGAAATGAGTAAAATAGGTCAACAGAAATCTCGTAAGGAATGTTCCTTTCCCATGTGATGTTCGATGCGGTGACCGAGTCGCAACTTTTCATCCGAAGTGAGCAAAAGAGATGAGCAGAAGTATGATGATTAATGTTCCTTTGCCATGTGATGTCCGATAAGCTGACCGAGTCGCAACGTTTGCGTCGAAGTGAGCAAAAGAGGTCAACAGAAGGATGATGATGAATGTGCCTTTGCCATGTGATGTTCGATGAGTTGACCGAGTCGCAACGTTTGCTTCGAAGTGAGCAAAAGAGGTTAACAGAAGTCTCTTGTGGACTGTTCCTTTTCCATATGATGTTCGATGAGCTGATCGAGTCGCAACGTTTGCTTCGAAGCGAGCAAAAGAGGTGAACAAAAGCATAATGATGAATGTTCCTTTGCCGTGTGATGATCGATGAGCTGACCGAGTCGCAACGTTTGCTTATAATTGAGGAAAAGAGCTGAAGAGGTGGGCACATGTGCCGCTGCGATTGACGGTGTTTAAAACCGAAGACGTTTTTCTTTTGCGCACCAGTTTTGGTTTTTGGAGATGTGTGGAAAAAAATTATAGGGAATTGATTTTCGGGGTCGGTTACTGGCTCGAGGTCCTTCTGCCGTCTCGTCATTTCCAGCCCCAAAAACCAGTTCCCTATTTTTTGTGTGGGAGAGATGTGGGAATTTTATGAGTAGGTACGTTGGTTTGAATAAAACTGGTTTTTTTTGGCGAAATTCAGGTTGACTCATGCACGTTTCTAACGTTTCTAGTTTAGCCTTTAGTTAATTCTTCAGATGTATTAAGTATAGGAGTAGTTTATAGTTATTTCGATATTGTACTCCATTGCTATAGTTTTGAGTGTGCGTGAAATACGGTTAATAGTTGAATGTTCCCTTGAATTTGTGTCTTACTTGGTTAGTACGGTGTTTGTTTCAGTTTAAGATACTGTGAGAGTTAGTAATTTGTCGTCGATATAGTTGAGTGTTACAGGGTCTGCTTGTTGACCATTTTAAATACTAGAAGTACTCATGCGCCACCCTGGAGTTTTTTCTATTTGTTTTCGGAGAGATTGTGCGTTTCCCGTGTTAATATAAAAGATAGTTAATATTTTATAGCTTAGTGTTGACGACTGTACATCATGTATATCGCTAGTACTCATGGTATATACAAAAATAATAGTTGGCTGCTATAATTGCATGTGTTGAATATTGGAAGACTGAGCTTCACACTGTGAAAGATAATGTGAACGCGGAGCTTGTAAATGTTAGTTTACATGGTTGAAGCAAGAAAATTTTTCTACTGCCGCATGCATTAGTAGTGATTCCGCAAATTAATATTTTTGAATGTTGAAAAATTGACGAACGTGTCAACAGCAGCAGCATGCCCGTCATACTTAACCTATTGAAATAGAACCAAAGGCGTGCCCGCTAAAATAAAATATCTTACGGGCGTGGCGGACACAAAATTTTCGCGTTCTATCTGCTAAGGAGTTTGGCATTGACTCTTTCATTCTGTATACGCAGCCGTATTGTAAACAGCATTTTTGAACATATAGTAGAAGTCTCTTTCATATAATTCGTTTTTTAGATGTTTTTACGGCCATCTATCAGCGTAAAATATACGGATCCCCATAAATGTTTCAGAGAAGACTGCTCTGGGACAGTGTGCTGTGGGCACCTACCCTGTTTATGTTTTAGAATAGAAGCAATTCAACGAAATAAAATTTTGAAAAATTCTACAATATGCTTCAACTGGAAAGGTGTCAAAAAATATGATGCACGATATATTGAAACCACACCTTTCACAATATATTCTTTATTACAACACATTACGTTGCCTGTGATACACGTTTTAGGTGTGGGTGAATGTGGGTGTGTATATCAATGCGAAAACAGATCAATCTATCCTTTAACGAAAAGACAAATCAATGTGCTAGTCTAAACTCTTGCTTCTCAGCAATCGATCAAAGCCGAAAACAAATTTTAATTTCAAATACTAAATTAAATTGTGCTTAAAATGTTAAAATAATTAAAAGAAATGCAGATATTTAATTTTCTCGATGTGTCTCGTAGCTTTTATAAAATAGTACTCTTCAGGGCTTTAGACTTATGTATATCTCTTAATAAGTTATAATAAGATGAATCCGAAAACATATCAATCTATCCTTTAACGAAAACAAAAATCAATCTGCTAGTCTCAACTCTTGCTTCTCAGCAATCGATCAAACCCGAAAAGAAATTAAAATTTCAAATACTGAATGAAATTGTGCTTGAAATGTTAAAGTAACAAAAGAGAATGCAGATATGTAATTTTGCCGACGGGTTTCGTGTATTTCAATGCGAAAACAGGGTGTGGGTGTGAATAAGCTGCCACCCATGTGAAAATTTTGTGCGTTCAAACGCAGAGTTGAACGCGCTACAGCTGCGTTTGAAATGATAAGCACGAAACGCATTGAACGCAGCTAAAATGAAACATCTGATGCATCTGAACGCGTCTTTCGGATGCGTCTGAACGCGTTTTGTAAACGCACCTTGACGCATCTAAATGCTTGATGAAAGATCTGATGCGTTCGGACGCGTTTGAAGAAATTTAAGGAAAAAATGAACATCTTGTTCTCGGAGAGTCGTGCTGCGGCACCATCATAACCGCATAATGGTCAGCTCCTTCCTAGAGGTATAATACAGAACAAGGAATTTAACTTACGACATGGAAGAGAAGCGCGGTGATGAAGGCTAGAACAGAAGAACTTTGAATTGTAGAACAAGTTACTTACCTCTGAGCTATATCTCCTTGTGAGAGGGTTTTGTTGTCAACAATATCTTTTTAATCACTTACAACTAACACGACTAGTTGAATGACAGAATACAATTATTAAAATAAAATAAGAATTATTTTATACTGATATTTTTTTTTATAAATATTCGAATCTTACATGATGAACTATCTAGATTAAAGTAAACTATTATTTGATATTAAGCACAATCCTTATTTATTTATTTTTCGGAATAAATTTATAAAAATTGAACGAAATTAATTTTTCATAAGCAAACGACTTTTTCTGTACATCTGTTGGAAAATTTTACCACTGTATGACTATAAGCTTGCTATAAACTTTTTAAGATTAAAAAAATAAAATATGCCGAATCTTTGTATATTACTTAGCTATTTTAAATTTATCTGTAAAATAAGACAATAAAAAATATTTTCATTTTCAAGAAAGTAATTTACTTTTATTATTTTTACATTTCAACTATTTAATTAATTTATCAAAATCAAAACTAAAACGCAAATGAGATTTATAGTTGAAAAAAATTGAAAGAAAAATATTACGAAGTGAAGAGGTTGTAGAATATGATAGAATTTTATTTATTAGAATACCAAGGCTCATAGATTGCCTTATAAATTGATATCTGGAAGATATAATAAAATTAGGCACAACTTGATGTCATAAAGATATGTAATATCAATATGAACGATTTAATTTGAAAAACTATTAACAATCAGTATATAATCTTATTATTTGTTTTCGTAATTATTTTTCAGTTATTTTATTTCGAAAGAGTAAATTTTGATTTAAAATGACCTGAAATATTTAGATTATGCAACGATCTCACTCTGTCAAAAATATTGCATAAATAATATCGGCATATCGAGGTAATGAAAAGAAGTATTTTCTATTCTTCCAGCATTTCAATATACAATAGAAAAATAGAGAATATTTTGAATCTCAATAATAAGGAATATAAGTGTAAATTTAAACAGTAAAAGGGAACAGTAGCAAAGTTATCCAAAGTAGAATATAGATATAGACATACGTAAGTATTTTTCGTACATGTGTCAGACTGAAAATACGTTGATGTGATAATCGTGAAGTCGATAAAATGCACAATATAGCTCTGCATACTCTTATTGTCATAAGCTTAATTAAAATTTATCATTTTCATTTTTCTAGAATAATAAGCTAAACGATATTGTCACAATTTATTGCTACACTCATCAAAACTATTTGCTTCTACATTGACAAATACGCAGTAACTGGTTTATAGGATATATCTTTAATAGAAACGATTATAACATTTGAAAGACATTGCACAAGAAACGACCCTCGCCTTATATGGATGAGTCTACACGCGATCATAAATAAAGAAGTGTTCAATCTTGTTTTTATTCTTACAATTGTGACACACGTTTCAGTTTTAGATACGTCGGGATGCGACTCTTAATCAGAACACGTCCGAATGCATCTTAAAAACGCGAGTGAACACAATCGTAACTCGAGACGCGTTCGGCTGCGTTTCTATCCTGTAATATTATAAAACGCGTTTCATCTGCACGTGCATCTAGACGCGGCTGCTTGCCCAAACGCATTCAGACGCGTGTTTGGGACGCGAATGCGAACTCAAACGCATCCAGATGTGTCTTTGGGGCGCGATCAAACGCGATTGTGAACTCAAACGCATCTAGATGCGTCTTTAAAAACGCGTCTGGACGCTATTCTCTCCAATTTTGTAACATAATCGCGTGTAGGCGCGTTCAAAACGCGTTTCGCGTGCGTTTCAGTTTTACATGGGTGAGTGTGCCTTTCATTTTAATATTTTAATTGTCTTTTTTCATGCGAAGATTGATTTGTATCAAGCAGTACTTTAAATTAGTGGAATTAATAATAACTGTTCAATGTAAGAGGGAGCAATAAATTGACAATATTAACGTCTTCAATAAGAACTGTTCTCCTAATCAATTACTGATTTTCCGTATAAATTCTGGCAAAAACATCTTCAAACAAAATG